CTCTCTCGACAAGCATGCACTTGAATCATTTTTCATTTTGCCAGCTCTTGTATATAAGCTAGAAAATTAATTCTACAATCAGAGAAAATGTATACTAATGATAAGACACTGAACACTGTGCAAGTAGGATTTCAAAGAAATAAAAACTATCATTTCTTGTAGTAGGTTCATGCATTAATGTTTCACTTTATTGCTGCTGGAATATCAGAACAGAATCACCAAAAGAAGAATTGGAACATTTAGATGGTTTTATTTAAATGTATGTTGAACCTTTATTTGTTTCTTAGGACCCAAATAATTGAATAGACTGAATACTGTTGACTTTATTTGATGTTCTAAATGTGTATCTACTGAGTACTTTTTTATTGTATTGAATTGCCCGTGTGAGAGGTAATTCTTTGTGTTGAAGACTTGATGTAAATAATTTAAGTTTGACCACTCTCTAACTAGTTAAGCTTTTATATGAGATGGTTCAATATAGTGTCAGAGCACACAAAAGTGTTAAGATCACGGTTCTAGTCCTTTCATTTATGAAAAACTTGAATTGCACGTGAGGGGATGTGTTGAAGATATAACATAATGAAATAAGTTTGTCCACTCTGTGATAGCTTAAACTTTAAAATGAAGTGGTTCTACACTTCTAACATGCAGAATTTGGATCTAACACAGTTCTCGTTGTAGGATTTGTGCTGGTTGCAACCGTGAAATCGGTCATGGAAGATATTTGAGTTGCTTGGGATCTGTTTGGCATCCAGAATGTTTTCGTTGCCACGTTTGCAATCAGCCAATTTCTGAATTCGAGGTGCAGAACTTTTCCTAAAGTGCTTGAAATTAAGTTTAATTCTAAAACAATCTTTTGGGTTTCTAGATGCTAATTTATCACTGCGAAATAAGTTTATCATAATGAATTCTCTTTTAAATTATGTTCCAGTTTTCGTTGTTTGATAATCGCCCTTGTCACAAATCTTGCTCTAAAGACCACCATCTCCCCAAATGTGATGTTTGCAAGAATTTTGTAAGTGCCTCTATCATCATATTTCCCACTTTATGTCATCAATCTTAATGTTGCAGAATTTCTAAATCTTTTGTTCATGCTTATTTAGTACAATTCTTGTTAAGAATATTAGCCCTCCCGTTTAGCCCCCATTCTCTTTCATTTTTTTCCTCTCTCTTATTTTCAACCACACAATCTTCCTTAAAATAATGTTACACGTAAATCGAAAATTTTCCATTCATTTTCAACCACATATTCTTCAAAAAAACACTATTCGAAACATTAAAATTTGAAAAAAATGGGGTCCAAACTGGGGCTTAGTAATTGTTCCAATGCTACCAGAGTCTAATGTGCAGATCTGAAATCCCAGTTTTGTACTCTTTTGCTACATTCTCCTCCTCTTGGCCGCCTGCATTCTATCAATAAACTATCTGATACATTTCCACGTAAGCTTTCCGAAGTAGAGGTTTCACTTTTTGCCCCTGTTTGGGCTCCATTTTTCCAGAAAATGTATTTTCTAAAACTCATTTTCAACCACATGTTCTTCCATAAAATAATGTTACACGTAAATCCAAAAACTTTTCATTATTTTTTAACCACACTCTTCAAAAAATACTATTCCAAAACACATTTTCCCCTGTAATATCATTTTAGTGGAGCCCAAACAGGGCAGAGTGATCCATCTTGCATTAACTGGCCACTTATTCCGACTTCAACTTCAATCTTTGACTACATTGCTAAACTCTATTGGCATGTTTGCTGGGTAGGATTGACTAACACTGGAAGAATTTAAAATCTTGTTCATTTTACTGTTCAATCATGTGCAATACTGCTGCATACCAAACATTTATTTCAATTATAAAACTAACCTCATTATAGCTTACTGAGCATGTAATCTATATTTCAAGTATAAAACTAACCACGTTCTAGCTTACTGAGCATGTAATCTATGTACTTGTGTAAAAATTCTTGTTACCCCTTTTAGTATCATACTGACCACTGATACCTTGGGTATTTTCTCATTCATATTCTGTGGATACAGATCCCGCCAAATAGATTTGGTCTTATTGAGTATAGGGCACATCCTTTCTGGAAGCAGAAGTACTGCCCATCACATGAGCGTGATGGTACACCTCGCTGTTGCAGCTGCGAGAGAATGGAAGTGAGTCTACAAAAATACTAATAAATAGAAAAAGGACCGAATAAATTTTTCAGCTGGAACGTCTTAATATTGACGAAACTAACATCATGTTTGGTAAAGCTTCAGAAAAGTGAGCTTACTCTTATTGACAAAACGTAAATACTTACTGTTGAGATAGGTTAGATATTGTACTGAAAATCCCCAAAAAAACAAAAAACACAAAAAAAAAGAAAAAAAAACTTTTAAAAGACCTTACACATGTTTGGCAAAAAAGAAAAAAAAAAAAAAAAGAAAAAAAGAAAAAAAAATTGTTAATTAAAATCAACTTATAGGCTTAGCCAAACATGCTCAGACCCAAAAGATTATATATAGTTCATGGTGAATTAATGTGAAGCTTTCTGATCCATGCAGTCAGTAGATGCCAGATATCTGGTGCTAGATGATGGTCGGAAGCTATGTCTGGAGTGTTTGGATTCCGCAATAATGGATACGCATGAATGCCAACCTCTTTACCTAGAAATACAAGAGTTTTATGAAGGTTTAAATATGAAAGTTGAGCAACAAATTCCATTGCTCTTGGTCGAGAGACAAGCTTTAAATGAAGCCATGGAAGGAGAAAAAAATGTAAGTTCACTTCTTAGTGAATATTACATCTCTGCAATTTTGTTTCAAGTATTTACATAGATGCTTGTAATGTATGCCTTATTGCCAGGGTCATCATCACATGCCCGAGACTCGTGGACTTTGCCTGTCAGAAGAGCAGACAGTTAGAATAGTATGAATATCTTCCAATATTGACTTTCTTTCATAAGATAATATTGCCACTTACATATAATCGTATATTCTCTAAGATTCTATTTTATACTTATTTTACGAAACTAAATTCAGATTTTGAGGCGGCCAAGGATTGGAGGGTTTCGAATAATTGACATGTTCACCGAGCCTTATAAGCTAGTCCGTCGATGTGAAGTGACAGCGATTCTTGTTTTGTATGGTCTTCCTAGGTAAGCCTTGTTTCTTTTCGTCACCTGTAGCTTTTCCTGATGCTTGCACTTACATGGACAAACTAAAAAAATCCTTTCATCAATTCAGATTACTGACTGGTTCCATCCTGGTTCATGAGATGATGCATGCGTGGCTGCGACTTAAAGGTACTCTTTCTTAGTACTATAAAGTTGTCTACTAAGCTTTAAAGGTTTATTACAAGTAAATACAGAAGTTTAGAATAAATAAATTTTTTTGTGGTGTATACGCTGGAATTGAATATCTTTTTCTCATAGTAAGGTAAGAACTATTGTCAACATAAGTAAAATTTTTCACTTCAAAGTAAGGAAAGCAAACAGCAGTTACTTTAGAGTAATTCTTACTCTTTATTAAGCTTAGTCAAACTTGCTATACATTTTTTCCTGGCATCTCCCTTCTTTGCAATATGCCTAAATAGAATTAGCGACTGTGTCGCCTTGCAGGTTACCCTAATCTAAGTCCAGAAGTTGAAGAAGGTATCTGCCAAGTGTTAGCTCATATGTGGTTGGATTCCGAAATTATTGCTGGTTCTGGTAGTAATGTTGCTTCGACTTCATCCTCGTCATCTAGTTCTTCTAAGAAGGGAAAACGATCTGAGTTTGAGAAAAAACTTGGCGAGTTTTTCAAACACCAGATTGAATCAGATACATCAACAGCATATGGAGATGGTTTCAGAGAAGGCAACAAGGCAATGCTCAAGTATGGCATAAAAACAACACTCGATCACATTCGGCTTACGGGAAGCTTCCCATATTAAGTTAATTGGTAATTTGCTGAGTTTCCTACTTATACATCAATTTGCATAGTATCAACCTAGTAAAAAAAAAAAAAAAAAGGTAGAGAGAAGAAAAGCTTAGACTAATGCAAAAATAAGTGCTGCTGCTATATATGATCTTTTCAACATTGAGAACTGCATATTTTGTGTCAAATACCTGGCAATATGTGAAAAGAATAATGATGATATTAAAGTTACTGAGAATTAAGGCATTGATTTTTCGTTTCTTTGTAAGGAAAGAATTAAATGAAATGCCTGCCACGTGGTTTTATAAAATGCGTGGCTTGGCTCATCAAAAATTGGAGTCCTGAGAAGCAAATAACGAAGTAATTGAACAAGCAAGAGTTTACTTGCTAAAGGAATGTTTACCTGCTAAACGAATGTTTACCGACAGGCATAGATATTTATACTATTACCAGTCTTAACTTCTTAAGTCTCGAACTAAACTACAGCTCTCTTTATCAATTTTAAAGAAATTCTCGGCTACTTGTTCATCATCTCTACATTTCAACCTTGAATTTTTTCAGAGAACATTGTAATAATAACACAATTCATTAATAGAGTTTGGTTATCCATATATAAATCCACAAAATATAAAAACATAAAATAAATGTAAATTTTTTTTTTTAGAATTTTAGTTTTAAGAGGAAAGGCATTTTGTCTGAAAATGGTGGATCAGAGTATTTTCCAGTGAGAATCTGTGATGCAACATACTGGTTTGCAGCCTCAGTGTAGTGAATCCCATCCCAATTCACATATTCTGTGCTGTCATTACAAGCTTTGGCTGTCACTGAACTTCCATTCAATACCTTAGTTTGTCCACAGGCAATTCTACTGTCATAGTTCAAGGGTGGACCTCCATATCCACAGCATGCCATTATTGGCTCTTCAAATCCTGTACACAAGTTGAGTGAAATATTCGTGAGACAAACATAGTGGAAATGAAGATGAAATGGGTAAGATGAGAAACGAGAATAACAGATGCTATGGTAGCTTTTTGGGCAGTTGAAAGATAAAAGATTCATAAAATAGATGTTGAAGTAGATGTATGATCGTACTAAGCCCGTCTGATTTCCATTATTTTGAAAAAATGATGTTTTGAATAGTGATTTTTTGGAGAATGTGTAGTTTAAAAAGAGGAAAAGTTTTGGGATTACGTGCAAAATATTTTATTATGGGAATGTATGATTAAAAATGAGTACGAGAATTAAAGAGTTTTGTTTTGAAAGGGGACAAGAAGGGGCTAAAATGAATCAGATAAGAAATGAGAATATAAACTACAGAGTGCATGAAGCTATCCCTTATACTGACCGTATCGAGAATAGTTTGCTATGAGATTAGACTTGATTGTGAAAATATCCACATATGTGAAATTTGCATCTGTATATTGGCCTTGCAACTTTGTAGTGAGTGCACGAAGTTGCAGATTGAGAAGTCTTGAAGCTTGATTGTGGGTGCTGACACATCCAAGTTCATCAAGCTGTGATGGATCAGTTCCAAATTTGGCTACATTCTGCGGTAAGCAACCCAGGGGACCTGTGTTATGAATCCAAAAATTTCTTGCCTGTTGGTCGTATAATTTCTGCATGGAAATCAAGAATCAAAAATCGGAAAAAATTTACGATATTTAGAAGTTATCTCCAGTCGATATTAAATATATGATGCTATGTGAAATGAACATAGTTGTCATGAATTGGTTTGCAAGATGTAGGAGAGATGATATTTGTGTGGCTAAAGGAATAATTTGGCCGCGCATAGCCGGCAATTTTCTTGTGGGCTGGGCTGGGCTGGGCTGGGACGAACAGAAAATATGAGGTTGTGCACGGGTAACTTCTAGAGTGACTAACCTTGATGCCATCTTCAAATTCTGATAGAATTGATGGAATTAAAGCTAGAATTTGATCAAAGGTCTTAGAATAGAAGGCTCCTGCTAGATCATTCTGGCCTATATCAAACATGTAAAGCCCCTTCTGAAAATAATCTTGAGCTGGTATATACTTATCATATTTTCTTGCTGCAAAACAAATAAAATAATAAATTATTATAGAGAATAAAATGGTAGCTTATAATGTTATTCCATGACTAAGAATTTTTGGAAAGAAATACTTGTAGACTGCAGTTCTTGAACTCGAGCCTTGAATCTGAAAAATTGAGCCACTTGAATCCCAAATGAAAATGGGCTCACTGAAGATGCAGTAGCTGGAAGTATCTTAGAACCTGCAGCTGCAAAGTTGCATCCTTTTCTAAAACTTGGTGTGCCAATAGCTTCCAAATATGCATTCAAAAATGGCAAGTCCATTGCATCCACTGCAACAAACAAATAACAAATTAAGTCTTATTCTCGACAACTTTGAGGTCGACTAATTGAATCGAAATTCATCGCTCTGATGTTTGGTTCTTAAAGTGAGTTTAAGGAAGTGACCTCAAGGTAGCCACAGGTAAATGGAGCTGAAACATACAAAGGTGTCTATGTCTTTTCATAGTCGGGGACAAAAGGGGGGACTCGGCTCTAATGCCACTTGTTATGTGAAAGCCATCAAATCTGGTTTTTAGGCAGAACATACGAGAAAGTGTAGGACAAACAAACAAATTCTCATTTAGAACAAACAAAGTCATTCTTATTCTACGCAGGATTGTCTTCAAAACCACATAGAAGCACAATGCAAGTAGATCCTTTCCTATCTCAATAAGTATTTGTCCACCATTCTTCAAAAATTCTTTTTTTCTAAAACACTTTTTTAATCTCACATTCAAACGGTAAAGTATGTAAATTTAAAACTTTTCCATACTTTATAGTTACACATCCTCCAAATAATCACTAATCAAGACTCATTTTCTCCCAAAAAAACATTCTTTTTAATGAGCATAAAACAAGGGCTATATAAAGTTTTGAAAACTCATGAAGAGCTGGAAAAAATTGAAAGAATAATAGCAGAATGTGGCTTTCTGCATTGAATGAAAATCATACATATTCAGTGAGAAAGAAATCAGAAATTTTTACTCAAAAAATCGATGATCAGACGGCCATCGCAGAATCTCCCGGATGGTTTCTGGAAGTAAATCTGCCCATTTGGTGGATCGAGCTGTTCGGCCATGCCAGCAACAAGATTACCAGTATCGGAATTCGAATCTCCAAAGTTGAAAACTGCAGGGTAATTGAAATCAATGGAGTTTGAGAGAGGCAAACAGATTAAGAGCAAGAACAAGACGAGTATACGGAAGCTGGTACAAGTTTTAGAAGCCATGTTTCATGAGTGGCTGAATGAATGAAATTTTGGATTCTAAGTTTTAAGTAATTCGTAACTACCAACCAAACGGCAGGTTGGATCTCTCCTATATTAGAAGGGCTGGTGGGGTTTTAGCTTTCTTTTGTGTGTACTCTAAGTTATCTTTGAAATGCAGAGAACTGTTCTTCATTGCTTAAAAACTGGTTATCTTTTGTAGGGTACTGCTGATGTTTAAGCAAGGATTAAGACGGATTTGAACGCTCCTTAAACCATTCATTCTGCCTCTTTTTCACAATTTCACTTTAATTAGGAGATAGCTTTATCACTAAAAATGGATCGACGCTCTCCAGCTAAAAGAGCAGTTTATTTTCTTCGAACACGATGGTGTGCTTGATTTCTTACTACATCTTCACAAGTGTTGAAGATATGAAAATATTATAAAGATTATTTTCCATGAGATTTTTTAATTGTGCGAGATTATTTTCTTTAATAGTTGATTGTAGGAGTGAATACGATTCGATTTGGACGGTTTGTGACAAGTTTTCAAATCAAACCACTTAGAGTGGTTTGAAATTTTTCCAAACCAAACTAAACCGCTTCAATATCTATATCAAACCAATCGAAAACCATGGTTTAAAAAAGAAAAAATATAATATATGATCAAATAAGTTAAATCATAAATATTAATATAAAATTTCACGTTAAAACAAGTACAAGCCTAAGTTTTAAAATTCTAATCATTATAATGTAATAGCGTTATAGAAATATTTTTAACCTTTTTATTCGATATTAATTTGTCCAATATCTACATTGGTGACACGCAATTCATTCTCTCCATAAAGATAACAATATAGTACATGAATCCATTGGTTACAGTTGAAAGATATAAAATAACTAATAAAAGAAAATGAATAGAAGATCATTAATGACAATACTTTTTATAACTTGTGAATTATTTAATGCTTTTACCTCATCCAAATATTGACTAATCACTGTAAGTTACTTGTTACTCTGAAACCATTATTCAGGGAAAATCACTACATCAAGCATATTTGCACTTAGCGAACTGCTAAAAGAATCTAGGATTCGATCACTAGTAAGAATGCATACTCAGAAACAATTGCGGATATTGAATAACTAACCCATTATTAGCAATTTGGACAAAAATATTGTATTTGTTTGCATTCAATTTCTATCAAATTAATATGTCGAAAAGTTCATTGGTCAAATCTTCAAAAATAAATAAATAAATAAAATAAAATAAAAACCATATAAGTAATAGACCAAATCATTTTAGAATTTAACAGTAAAATCTAAAAAACTAAGTAAAATGTAAATAATTAATTGAGTGACCTGACTAGTAATTTGTGACAGAAATAAATTAAAAATATTGTCCGCTAAAAAGATAAGGGAGTTCGATACAAATTAGAACAAAATACACAACTACGAATAAAATATAGGAAATAATTACTGAAAAATAAAAACATTTTGGATAAAATAACCAAAAATTTAATCGAAATTCAAGATAATTACTAGTAGAAGGAAAAAAGATTTATGAATTTGAATTAAAATTTAAATTTAATTGGACGGTCAATAAATATGGTTCAACAATAATTGTTCAATACACAACCCAATTTGACAGTTTTGTATTCAAGTTACGATGATTAATGGATATTTGGATACGATTTAATTAATTAATTAGGATGAATAATTATCTATTTACAAATTGAGTTTAATTGATTATGTCTAATATGCATGTATCTTTTTAATTGGAATATGTTTAATTTTAATTGGGTTGAATAAAATTTCAATTAATTAATTTTTTATTTTTTTGGTAAATTATTTGCAAATATTGAAACCAAATCACTTCAAAACTAAATTATTGATGGATCCATGCAAATTCAAACCAACAATTTCAAAAAAGCGATTTCGATTTCAGTTTACTAGTTGATGATTTCATTATTTAGCTCTTGTTGATTGTGTCACACAATCATTTTTCTAAAATTACACGTAACTCTATAAACACAGGGTCGTCTACTTTGCAGTAGTAACATAATTGTATTATATATCGTTTGGTCATTTCATTTTTCCTCTTTAACATCATCTCGTTTTATTTTATTATTTATTTATTTATTTTTATCTGTATTTGAGTCATAATCTGATATGGGCCTTCCTTTTTCTACCTGTCAAAATTTTCTCAAATCAAATCATCAACTCTGGCGATTGAGAAATCTGCATATGGGCCTTCCCGTTTCTGTCAAAAGTTTCTCAAATTAAATCGTCAACTTTGGCGATTGAGAAATCCATACATGACGTAGGGTTCCAGTTTGACAAATATGATTCCTAGTTGTTTCGTCCTTAAAATAATTTTGCCTTGCTCTCATGTTGGCGCTGGATCATATGAAAATCCTATGGTTGTGTTGGACGAAGATTAAAATCAAGATTTTAATTGAAAGTCAATAATTAATTTCAATCCCATATTTCATAGGACCCAGAACTTTTTAACCACATATTTCATTAACTTTTTTCAAGGGAGTGTATTCAATTGAGACTTTTAATGACTTTTTGAAATTTAAAAAGTTTAGGGGTATTCAATTGAAACTTTTTGAGACTCTCTAAAAATCACGGTGTATTCAATTAAGACTTTTAAAAAATCTCTAAAAGTTATGGTGTATTCAACTAAAAAATTTTAGAAGTCTCTATGAGTCTTGGGGGATTCAAATTTTAATGACTTCTGGAGACTTTTATAAAAGTCTCTGAAATACTAACTTTTAAGCAGAAAGTACTCATATAATATTTTGATGGGGATGTTGAAGATATGAAAACATTATATATATTATTCTCCATTATATTTGTAACCCTATAAATAAGGTCATTTACTTTATGATAGTAATACAATAATAAAAGTCTATAATATACAATCTATAATATTCTAACAACAAGACTGCCCTTCACAACAACAATATGCACACAACTTTGTACAAAGCTAATTCTACCCCCACATTACCTTCAGAGTGTTTACTAATGAAGCATTTATCCTGCAGAACAGTAATGACTTCCGAACAGCATTCACGAACATCCAGTGGAGCATATCGAAGATTTACAGTGTATTTGTGAAACGAGATGCTCAACCACGAGCACATAATCGCACTCGACAACGACTTTTAGAGACGTGAAAATTACCATTTCTCGCAATCGTTTGACTGAAGTCGATAGCTAAATCCATTTACAATAGCAATAAAGCAAAGAGTGCAAGAACCAAAACAACAAAATGAATCCTCTTCAGAATGCCATCTGTCTCTTGAACATTATTACTCTCCCTATCAGGGATTTCGCCTTCGGGATCACGAAAGGGACGAGAGTATCGATGATGATATCCTTGGGTAGCACCATATTCACCAGCATTCGAAAATCCATGAACCTGGGCGTTGAAATTTGGAGAGAATGTTGGTATAAATCCAAACATCAAGTTAGAAATGTTACTTGCTCCTAGAGATGGAGCCGTTTCCGATCTCTGCCCTATCGGTCGATTAGGGATTTCAACGCCGAGAACGGGTTTTGATCTCGGGTCAGTTGGAACCTTCCCTCGACCGTACAAAGGAATCAACTTTTCCTCTCGTATTAAGGCCTTACAAACTGGGCATCCTTGTGATCGAGAGTATAGTCGTAGCCATTTATAGAGACACGGCCAACAATATAGATGACCACAGACGGTGATTATAGGATCCGTTGCTAACTCAAAGCAAATATTGCACTCGAAATCACCACCGTCATCACTGCCAATTCCCAAGGATTCTTGAGCCTCGATCGACATTTAATTCAAATCGAATTTTCCTAAAGATCACAAGAACAATGAATAATATTAGAAAGTAAAACCAGTTCATAGCTATCTCTTTAGGCCCTAAAAATAATTAATTTAACCCAATATCCAGTGTAAAATAGTTCAAATTTCAGAAATTCAGTCCCCAAATACTCAAATGTAGCTTCAAGGGAAATGTAAATTCCCAAACTTCATATTTTAACTGCAAAAAAGATTTGCTAACTACCCACTGAGACCTAAATTCCTCTAAAAAAAAAAAAAAAAAAAAATGAAATCCGAAAACACAAAAACGGGTCCTTCATAAACAAGATTCACCATATTTTCAAGTAGATAAATATCCTTTGACTTTAGAAAACGAACACAGATTAAATAATTTTGCTATTTATTTATATGTATGCAATTTTTTTATTTGATTAACTATGCATTAACTTAAATAATCGAAATCGTATATATAATTACTATATTCTCATCAAAATATATACAAAGAATATTAAAAATTGTAAATTGCTAAACATAAAACAATTCAATCAAACTCATCTGAGTTCGTTCATATGTATTCAATTGTTGTAAATAAATTAAACAAGTGTAAAGAAAAAGCCAAGATTGAAATTAGAAAGCAAGCATTTACCTTAGAGATTGAAGAAGATCAAAACGCAATTGAACGTCGAGACCCTTGTCAGTGAATATCGACAAAAATCAACATTTGGAAATGACATGGTTTTTAAAGTCAGCATTTGTAAGGAATTTTGGCATTTCTCCGCACACAGACAAAGTCTAGAGTCCAAAATGTTCAGCTTTGCTTTCAGGTCTCCATTGATTTAACTACTTAGGTCAGATCAAGGTTCATTCTAATTTAATAATAATGGTTGGGAGTTGTTGGATATATTCGACTAAGGGCATGTTTGGCAAGATTTTTACTTCTGTTTTGCCATTGCTTCTGCTTTTTGTAAAAAGCTTTTTGATAAAGCTATATTAAGTCAGCTTCATTTCAAAAAAAAAAAAAAAAAATAAAAAAAATTCTATTGAGACAAAGTACTTTCATAAAATTATTCAAATATATTCAAAGCAATTTTTTAATTTCAAAAGTCACTTTTGACTTTTTAAAAGTCTTGTCAAATGGATCCTAAGTGCTTCTTTGGCATTAAGGTCAAAATTAACAATTAAATTTAATCATGTATTTCATGGAACCTACATTTTTATCGACTTTTTAGCCATACTTTTAATCAACTTTTATCAAAATTTAGGGCATATTCAATAGTGATTATGAGAATTGATTTTTTGACCATTAGAGAGAAAAATGGATCTTACCTGTTAGTGAAGAAGTAAAAAATAATGGCTGGAATAGTGAAATAACAATCAAAAATTAAATTTTTGGGGTGAAAAATTGCTACCAAACGAGGGCTATTTTTTTGAAATCATAAACCTTATAAAAGAACCCATAAATCGTACTAAAAGGTATTGCATATAAATTAAAAACTCGAGTGGAACATTTTAAAAGTGAAAATGAGAGTGAATTGATGTTATGTATGCCTATATATGTTTTAGGTCCAATTT